CACACACACACACACACACTCACAAACACACACACACACACACATGCACACAACACTCGACACACTCGCTCACGCACGCACACGTCTACACACATCACAATGAGATGCCACCCCAGACACACACACACACACACACGTACGCACACACACAAGACACGCACGCACCCCCACCCCCAGCAGCCGCAGCCGCGAGGCGGACGACTTTGACCCGGAGGACGAGTACCAGGACGCCCAGGACGCCATCGACGAGCTCGTAGATCAAGAGGAGGAGGAGCGGGAGCTGGAGGAGGTGGAGGATCTGCTGGAGTACTACCTGCAGCGGGCCAGCGGGACCCAGTCGGAAGCCGAGCGGCAGCTGGAGGGGGCGCGCGACCTCGAGGAGTCGATCGGGGTCAGCCTGTCGGCGAGACGCTACGAGGTCAACCGGCTGGAGCTGATGCTGTCGATGGGCAGCTTCGCGGCGGCTGTCGGCGCGATGGTCGCGGGCATATTTGGGATGAACATGAAGAGCACGCTCGAGTTCAGCGTGGCCGGGTTCTGGGGCGTCACGCTGGCGATTGTGCTGGGGTGCTGCTACATGTTTGTGGCGATTATGAGGTACACGCAGCGGCGGAAGATCCTGTGAGCGATGCGTCGGACCGGCCCCGGCCCTAGCCTGGGCCCCGCCCCGCGCGGCGGAGGCGGGCGTCCGCTTTTGCGCCCGCCGTGCGCCCAAGGGGCCGTCACGCTGCGCGCAGGGCGTGGACTGCGCATTGTTGGCGAGGCCGCGCGCGGTGCGGCCCCGCGCTCGGGCTGCATCAGCACAGCCCCAACTCATGCTGCTGCGGCGCTCGGCGGCCCTGGCCCTTGTCAGCTGGCGGGCCGATTGCAGCAGGCCCGGGCTGCACTGCGGGCGCGTGTTATGGATGCTGTGAGTTCCCCTGCTTGTGCTCGTTTTGAATTGGGTGTTTGTGTGCGGCCTGCCAGGTCCCCATCGGCCTTCCCTGTGAGGTTGGAAATGTACCCGTCCCCCCGCACGCCAGCCCGCCGTGGCGACCCTCGTCGTTTGGTCTCCAGTTTCCAGCCTCGAACAACGCAATTCTAACCCCTGCCGCCCCCTGCGGCCATTCCGCGCCAACCCATCTGCGCGGCCCCTTTCTTTATCAAACCCGGCGCGCACACCCCTCCACGGACGCCTTTCGTTCGCTTCGGCGCCCTGGCCACGCCACATCAGCAGAGACGCCAGGTAGCTGCCGCCCGCTGCAGCACTGCCTGCGGCGCCCGCGCTGCGTCTACCCCACTCTCCATCATTCACCTTAAAGTTTCGACGCCATTTCGCTCAGCCCGAAACCGATGCAGCGATTCTCTTGGATGTTGTAGCGTATTCAGTCCCCATCGTCGCCCAGACCCTGTGAGAGGCGCGGGGAGGTGCCCTGAGCCGGTGCCGCGGCCCCGTGGCCGTGGCGCCGTGGCCAGGAGCCCCTGGGGAGCGGGCGCTGTCGCCGCCAAGTGCTGGAAGCCACTGCGTCCCGCGGAATCCCCTCAGTGTAAATCTGCCTTTTGAATGGGCGGTCGGACGGCTGGGTGGCGCACGACGGCGAGGGATGCCCTGGGGGTTCGGCGCGGCCATGGCGGCTGTAATACATGCAGCATTGGGTATTGGATAAGATTTTGCCTGCATGGCTTGCTTGTGGGGCAATGGGTGCGCCGGCGATGTGTCCCCTCTGGCGCAAGAATGCCCGCCGCCAAACCACCAGCTTGGTGGTTCATGTGCACTTGCCCACTGTGGGTTCCAGGGGCAGACTGCTGTGCAGTCCAGGATGTCAAGAGTCTTCCCAAGGCCCATTCCGGGACAGTTGTACAAAGCAGCCTTGAATTTTCGCGCCTGGAGCCGCTACGCGCTTGGGGGGAGCGTGCCGGCCCTTCGCGGTCACCTGCTGCTTGGTATGGCCGTTGGCGGCCTACAGTATTTGGCTTTGGCCTCCCTCGTCTGCCGGTGCAGTGATTGATTCTGACTAGGAAAAAAGTCGAGCAATGGTGCTCGGCAGTCATTTCTTAGGCCTGCTGCGACCTACGTGGCACGGCGCTTGGGGCTGGGGCAGCCCCCCCAGGCGTAACCCAAGGCGGCGTGACGGGTGACTCGGGCAAAAGGTCTGTGGAGGTTGACCCAAGTCCGCTGCACCTGCGGCTCATTACTGCTTTTAATCACCACACACATCTCGAATCCTCCATACGGGTGCATGTACTCCGGCGAGTTTTGCTGAGCCCGACTGACACAGCAGTCTCTGCGCGCGTGGTAGCCCTGTCTGTCGATGAGATTACCGACGGGTTGGCTGTGATAATAATTTGCACGAAGTGAATCTATTGACCTAGAGATCCAAATCGATTGGCAAGAGGGTACGGTACGTTGTGTGTCTCAAACCTGGTGCCGGCTGCGCGACCCTCTGAGCGTCGCGTTTGCATGTAGCGGGTACCAATTGCACATCGATCCCGCAGGGGCCCGTTCCTCAGCCGTCGGGACGCGCACCTGCCGGGTGCCACGCCTGGGCGACCTGCGACGGGTGCCCATCAACCCAACCCCCGGCCCTCACCTCCCGTCCCGCCTCCCGCAGCTCCCGGAAATGACAGCGTTCGCCGCCCGCCCAGCAGCAACGTTGGCCGCCCCGCGCCCTCGCGCTCGGTGGCCAGCGACGGTTCTCAAGGTGCTGCTGCTGCAGCTGCTGGCCCAGGAGGCTGTCAGCCATGGCATCATGATCCAGCCACGGTCCCGCAATTGGATGGCCTACCTGCAGACGGGGTTCAACTACGCCCACGGCCTGTCGGCTGGCGGTGCGCGGCGCCGGCGCGAGCGGGGGCGTGCTCGCGCGGCCCCGCGGGCGGCCAACTGCCGGCCCGCTGGTGGCAGAGCGAGCGCCGACAGCGTGGAAGACCGTCGTCCATTAAGCCGCTGCCGCGTCTGAGCCGGTGGCAGCCGCCTGCTGGCACCGCTGGCGACCCCTGGGGACGCCGCACAGCAGCTAGCACCCTTACCAAGCCCTCCGCTCCAATCCGCAGGCGCCGCCACGGTCAGCGACAAGGGGCGGCTGCGGTATCCTGACGGCCGCCGCAACTACTGCGGCGACGCGCACAACGAGGACCGGTGGGATAAGCCCACGTCGCCTGTGGTGACTTACACCACAGGGCAAGTCATCAACGTTGATGTCGTGGTGGCGGTCAACCACATGGGCCGCATGAGCATGCAGGTGCGCATGCAACCGCCGCAAAGGGCCAGCAGGGGAGCGCCGCATGAGCATGAGCAAGGCGTTCCGGGCCGCATGCACGTGCAGGGGCGCATGCAATGGCTGCAAAGGGCCAGCAGGGGAGCGCGGCATGGTCATGGCAGTCCAGGCCGCATGCGCATGCATGGAGCACGTTCCAAGGCGCCCGTTGTGCACTCGCATGCAGACATCGCATCGCATGCAGCCTGAGTTGCCAAGAAGCCTTTCAGGGCGGCGCGCCTCCCCCAACGCCCGTCTGCGCCAACCCAGCCGATCCCTGTCATCAACCGTCCCGCCCCCCGCCAGGTTTGCCCCTTGGACGCCAAGCCCAAGCAGGGCAAGTGCAAGAATCTGTACCTCAAAGGCCATGGCGTGAAGAAGGGCGTGAAGTCTTGGTACCTCCCGGGCATAGACAAGTGGACGGGCGGCAACTATGGCGGCGACGCCCCGCGATACGGTGGGCGGCACGGAGTCCCTTCGGGGGCTGGGTTGGGCATGATGATTTCAGGCCTGCCCGGCGGCGGGCGGCACAGGCGTTCTGATAGGAGAAAACGTGGGAGTGAAATCGGCAGCAGGGAAAACATCGCCAACATGCGTTGTCGGGCGCCAGCCTGGTTCCAATGACCCTGCCGGTGTGCAACTGAACGCATGCGTGATTCACACAACTCTGCAATCGCTCACACGCATGCCCACACCTTGCACACGCACCTTGCACGTACTCACACACACGCACAAGCACACATGCACATGCACAAACACACACATACACATGCAAAAGTGCACGTACACGCAAGCAGGCATGAAGACTTGCGCGCCCGCATGCACACACCACAACACACATGCACGAACGCAAGCACCCGCACCCAACCCTCCTTGCACACACACCCAATACACACACACACATGCACACACGCACACACGCGCCAGGTGACGGCACCTTCTCCGCGTACCGCATGCCCGCGATCCCCGACACTGCCGGCTGGGGCTGCACCAGCCAGCGGCTCTGCAACGCGTTCAAGGACATGTGGGTATACCGCACAAAGTGGGCCCTGCCCAAGGACTTCAAATGCAGCCACTGCAAGCTACAATGGGTGAGGCTGGCCGCAGGCGGTGCAGCGCCCAGGGGCGGCGCGGCAGGGGCTGGCTCGGGCGCGATCGTTGTGAAAAGGGCACCGGCTGGGCAGGAAGGAAAGGCAGTGTGGAAGCACACGAGCGCGTTTCTCAGGGAGCCAGGGCGCGCAGGGATTTGAAGGGGCGGTGTGGTATGGCATTGCGGCAAGGAGGGATTCCAGCAGAACGCTTTCTAACAGGCAGCCCGCCTCGACCACCTTTGCCCCCGCCTCGGCGCGGCCGCGCGTGACAGGTCTGGACCACCGGCCACAGCTGCTGGCCGCCGTGCGAGAAGGGGAACCCGTTCCCGCAGTGCACCAACAAGCAGGTGTACCCAACCTGCGGCACCAAAGGCGCCGCCTACCCAGAGTGAGCGCGCAGGGGGCATCATGTTGCATCCAAGAGGCGGAGGCTGAGCCCTCCGTGCTGTTATCTGTGCTGTCCCCCCCCCTTGCCCCGCCTGAGCAATCTATGCTGTGCCTGCCTGGGGCGCGGCACGGCGCTGCTGCTAGAGGCGCCTGGCTGAGCATTAAGGGTCGGATGCCAGCGCCCTTCTTGCTGCCATCGCTGCTGCAAATCAAATTCATTTTTGCCACGGTCTTGCTCTCACTGCTGCTGCTTCTCCAACGCACCCGCGTGGTTGTCAATTGCAGGGAGTTCTACAACTGTGCTGGTGAGCGCACGATCTGGAGCGGGAGTATGGCTGCGCCCAGCCCAGCAGCTGCTTCGAAGCAGTGGGGGGTGAAGCTGGTCACCGTTAAAACCATTGAAACCATCGTCGGCAAACCTCCCTGATGCTCACGGCGCCTCAACAACCCTGCCGCCTGGGCTGCCAAAATCGCCCGCCCCTGCCCCTCCCTCCCACCCCACCACTCCGCACCCCCACAGACGTGACCATCACTGACAACGCCCGCATCGACCCGGCCACCAACTACCCGCCCTGGAATTGGAAAGTGGACATCCAGCACGGCACCTGGGGAGAGGTGGGCGCGCGGGGTGTTGCGGATGCATCACAGGCCCTCCAACGTCAGTTAGCGGGCCCCCGGCAGCGCGCGGGCAGGCAGGGACAGCCAGGATACAAACAGCCATTGGAACGGCGCCGGGGGGCCCGCTGGGGGTCGTCGGGCTGCGGGGGACGCGGGGTGAGGAGGACGCCTGCTGTTCCTTGTCGTGAATAGCCTGAGCAGGCCGGCCGATCCGCATGGGACCCCGAGAGTGGGGATTGCAATCTGGCAACGCGCGTCTCTGCACAACTAGGACAACTGATCGTGTCACCCTTGTTCACAAGGTGCTCGTCGTCCCTGTCCACCCTTGCCGACTCAAAAGTCTGCTGCCACACAACTCTGCCCTCCGACCCCTTCCGCGCCCCCGCCCCCAGGTGCGCCCCTCGATCATGCACAAGGACTGAGAAGCAAGCAGACGGGCGCACCACCCTGCCCACTGGCAGCTGCTTACGCACGATCATGGCCGCCCGTCTCCGCCGCCCGCGGACGTCATGGCCGGCCCCTTGGCTGCCCGTGTCACCAAGGGTTCGCCGCCGCACCGCCCGCTCAAGCACATGTGCGGCGCGTGGCGGCTGCCTGCCAGCTGAGCGCCCCCTGGCCTGCTGCAGCACAGCGTCTGCAGCATTTGATGCGCATCGCGTCCCTCTGCCGCGCACATCGTGCTGCGCAGCGCGAACCCTTTTTGCTTTCACTTCCTCTTGGGCATACGAAGAAACAGCATAGGATAGGGTTGGGGAGGCCATGCAGAAGCTTCCCGGAAGCCGATGCCTGCTGACCTCCCGATCATATCCGCCCCGCGCGCCAGAAATCACGCAACTGCACACAAATTTCTTATCCCATTGAGCGGCGCAACCTCGCGACAGAGCCACCCGTCTTGGGTGCGGCATGCGGCCATGCACAGCAGCACGGCTGCGCATCTGCGGCCGCCGCTGGGCGCCCCCGCCCCCAACGCGGCAGCCGGCCGCCGGGTCCTCCGGGTCTGCAACACACGCGTCCGTTCGAGCCCGCGCACCTGTTTCGATTGCCCGCAGCGCACGGCGCCGCCCTCGTGGCCGCCGCCGACGTGGCCTGCGCGTTCGGCGCTGCTCGGTGCTGCTCGACCCATTGACAGCTGCGGGCTCGGCCTGCCATACCTCCACCACCACCTTAGCCCCACATTGCAGCAAGGCCCAACCACCACCTGCGATTCGAATCCCATTTTGGCAGCATTCGAATCCCATTCCCCCGGCGCGGCTGCAAGCGCGTACGCCTGCGAGCCCTGGCATGCGCCGCCGTTTCGGTGCGTCCGGCCTTCGACTAGGCTGGACCGCGGGAGGACGGCAGCCGTGCTCTGCCGAGCAGTCGGCTGCTTTGGAGGGAGTTCGAAAAGGATCTGCGGGCGTTTGATGGCTTCGAGGCGCCGCCGCGGAGGCAGCTGCAAGGGGCCGCCTGTTGAACGTTTGGGTGGCCTGCTCATTGAGTCCTTGGGGTTCAGGGCTTCTATTTTCAGGAATTCCGGGCCAAAACGATTATCCAGGCGGGCGCCGTCGGCGCCCGTGCTCTCCAGTGACCAGGTGCCCATTTGGCGTTGATCAGCCTTGCCCTTTACCACGCCCCATCACGCCCTGAAACGCACCCACCAGGACAACGATAAATCACACACGACAGGCGCGCCGCTGCACCCATTCAGCCCCGGCCAGTCTGCTTTGCGTCTCACCAGGCACACGTCTGCGCTGCACCCACCTTCCACGCGGCTTCCCCGCATCGCCGCCACGCATGCGTGGAGAATTGCTTGCCCGCCTTGACGCTCTTTCTTGCAGCACTGTCCGACCCTTGGGGACGGGCTTTCTTTGGCTGTCCAGGTGTTCTTTTTGTTGATTTCTAAATCTACGCCGCACCCGCCGTTGTGGGGCCGCGCTATATTTGAATAGGCCCAATTGAAAGCCAAGGCTGCGCCGAGCGGTTTCTAGTGCCGTTGTGTCTGCCAGCGTCGAGAGCGTATTGTGCGTCCCGCATGCCGTGCCGTTCCTCTTTATCTGCCAAGCCACGTGGTCCTCCCGCACTTCTGTCGGCGCAGCTCAGCACCAAGGGGGCAACCGACTGCGGACCCTTACCTGTTTGGGGGCAGCGCAAGCAGTGTGTAAAGGGCCGCGCGTCCGCTGCACAACGAGGAAGGGCGTCACACTTGAGCAGGAGAGGACTGTGAATGAGGAGTGGTTTTGGCAGGGCATGTGAAAAACGACCGCACCACACCGGAGACAAGTATGATAAGTGATCCTCTTGTGTCTGCTCATGACTGGTTCAGGGCGGTTGCAGGTCACCATTGCTCGTGATTTTCACCTCTGCGCAGCCGCAGCACAAGACATACAAGCCCGCGTCTCAACAAGGGTCACCAGAAAAACACCTTTTGCCGGGCGCATCAGCTCCGCAACCTAACATGTCTGCAAGATGCTGGGCCACTTCCCAATGTAAGCCTCTCCTCCAGCTAGCTGCATGATTCAGAGCGCTGGTCATGCGGGCCATAGAACAGCCTTCCCTGGTGGGAAACATGTTGTGGGGGAGTTCATCATACAAAAAAACTGCGCGTTGCACACACACACACACACACACACACACACACACACACACACACACACACACACACAAACACACACAAACACACACACTTACATGTGCTTGCATACCCTTGTGTGTGCATGTGCACAAGCATTTGTGGTACGATCCTCACAGGTGGTGAGCCCCCGCGGGCCTTCATCAAGAGCAGCCACCAGCTCAGTGAGCTGCAATGCTGCACTGGTGCACTGGTGCACTGGGCACTGCTAAGGCTGCTCCCACCAGCTTGGCGTCGAATTTGTACAAGCCTCAGTGATCCTTGGAATTCAGATTCCAGCCGGTGTCAGCGGCTTGCGGTCAAACAAGTCCAAGGCTGCTGTGCAAGCTTGACGACACAGTTGAGTCGCTACTGTTTTAGGGCCACAGTAGCGACACAGCCACAGTAGCGACGGCAAGCCGCTGGCCTTCGTTGCTGCTGCATGCGCACCAGGGGTAACGACCTCTCCGCCACATGCTGGGCAGGTATGACAGGTATGTTTTAAAGTGTAGAGGCGATTATATGATGGCATCAATCACCCAGCCAAGGCTGTCGTGCAACGCTGATGCATCATCTCGGAATTTTACTGATGTAGAATTTCAAAAGTTGCCCTGGACGACCTGCTCGGAACGCCAGGCCTGCACCTTGCCGGCGCAACTCAAGGATTGGAACATGATCATGACTTAATGAAACATATTTCGATATACACCCGTTCAGATCGCGCTATAGATCATGTTGACGCCTGAGGAGAGCATCTTGCTCCTTACCGGGGTCGCAATGCTTTTGCAGTGCGCCTGGAGCAGCATGCAAATGCAGCTTCTCCAACAAGCGCATTTGGAAGAGACGGTGTTCCGCATGGTGGACGCGATAACATCGTTCGCGGTGGCGACAGTGTGAGACTTCCATTACACGTTTCCCCGTCTGTGGTGGCTGCGGTCAGAGTTTAAGCAAGCCTGCATTTCTATCTGGTCGCTGGCAGGCGACGATGTTGCGGGATTCATGTCACCCGCTCGTTGACTCTGCTGCTGCTGCGCCTGCAGGGGGGCCAGCAGCGACGACAGCAGCAGCGATGACAGCAGCAGCGATGACAGCAGCAGCTACGACAGCAGCAGCGACGACAGCACCAGTGACGACAGCGACGCCGGCAACAGTAGCCGCAGCAGCATGCTCAGCAGCAACAGGAGAAAACGGAGGCGACGGAGCAGCCGCAGGCGCGAAATCCGCATGCGGCGCGTGCGCCGCCACAGGGCAGCGTAGTCTGGCAGCAGCGCCAGGATTTCGTCACATGGCGTGCATTAAATGCACCGGGCAGCGACGCGGCATTGATGATCATACACCCGTTGTGTCATGTACACTATCAGATGAATCTCGTCAGGACTGGATCCACAGCGTCCACCACCTGGCCCCGTCTCTGAGCAGCTAACGCACAGATGCCAGTGCCGCCGGGCGCCCAGTCAGCAATAATGTGTGCAAGGTGCTCACACAGATCTGACGCAAGTGAGCCCCAACAGACCGCACCGGCGTCGCCGATGCCAGTGCGCGCCCTGCCGCGGCTCTGTGTGTCCCCCCTACGAATGCAGTTTTGCAGGATCCCGCGAACGTGTGCATGGAAAGGCCTGCCGCTTGTGGGCCTGCCGATGGGGTACATGCTGAGCGAGCTGCCCAATTTATATTGTATACTAGTGGCGTGCTCCACAGTGTCATGGCAAGCAGCACAGTCCACCTGCCCGCACATGGCTGTGGGCGTCGGGAATGGCGTTGGCTGGTGTCACCTTGTGTTACAAGACAATGCGGTGCGGCCGCACGGCGGCTGGGCCCCCCACGCCCTCACAGCGACGGGCAGACCCAGGCGGCAAGCCCCGCACACGAGCCGAGGGGGCCGGCCTGGGCGCCCCGGTGTGCACTGAAGCAAAGCACTTGCCTGGCTTCAGTGGACGGGGCGAGCTGGCCGGCCGCAATGCACAAAGGCTGAGCACAGGGATTATCGGTTGCTTTGCGATGCCGGCCGGCAGTCGAGCATGAGGGCCTGCGGGCCCTGCTGGCCGGTACTGCGCGCCTCCCTCATGAGCTTGGGAGGCGGTTTTAGTGCCCTTCGGTGGTCCTCTGGGTGCAAAAGGCGCGGCTGTTTGGCATTGCGTGTTGTTGCAATCGGCGCCGCCGCGACCTTTGTTTCATCACCAGCGGGTGCAATGCTGTGGCTGGCAGCAGGCGGTTGCTTCTCGCCTGCTGCGCGCGTCGCATCCAACATCGCTGCGCAGATGGTGGTCAAGAGCAGTTTGCCTCATGGTGCTGTTGCTGCCAGCGAGGATTTTCACTGCTTTGGGCTTTTCTTGCATCAATGGCGCAGTTTATTGTGTGTGTGGTCGTAAACAAAAGCGCACACACACATGCACAAGTAAACCGACATGTGATGCAGCCCCGGAAACGAGGAGCACCCAGGGGCAGTCCGGACTTTGTGGCGGCGGCGAGGGCTGCCAGCAGTGTTGCTGACACCAGTATCAAGGGCGACAGGTTGTGCCACATATCAATGTGTAGATATTTGGAGCTCCCAGTGGTAACATGAGAAGCCAAGTGCATGGGCCTTGTGAAAAGCGCGATTGGAGCGAGTCATGCAGTGCACGCTCACACAGATGCCGGATCCGGCGCATTTTTTGACCAGTGCTGTTGTGGCCCCTCCATCTTCTGATTATATCCACACACTAGCTGAGAGTCATTTATACTATCCTGCACGCCGCCATCAGCACGATCGAGCTACCGTACACCCGCGTCGATACTGTCGGGCCCCTTCGTTTGGCGGACCTCAGACACACATAGAGCGAACCAGGACGTGAAATAGTACTCTGCCTCCAGCGCAGACCTCGGCCTGTGCCGCACCGCACCTCATATGGCGCTTTTCGGCGGGGGCGGCGACAGCGGCGTCGCGTACGCGCGCCGCTCGTTGCCCGCCAAGCCGGGCGGGTCTGCCTTCAGGGCACCGGCTAGCATGGCAAGCCTCTGCCGCAGCACGGCCGACGATCCAGGCGCGCGCGCGCCCGCCACCAAGATCTGTGCCACCATCGGTATGCCGTGGCAGCCGCGCATGCTCTGCTGATGCATGCGATCACCCCCGCCTGCGGCGCGCGCCTTGCCTCCGACGATGCCCCTTGCTACTCTGGACAGCCCCAGGGGACCCTTTCTGCCGCATGCAATGCCAGCGCCAAACAGGAGGCTTTGCGCGACATGCAGCCGGCAGCCGGCCAGCCGCGAAGCCATCCGGCGTACATGGGTCGCCATGCGCACTCACGTCCACGCGCGGCGCACATGCGAGGGCGCCTCGCCCCCACCATCGCATCCCCCTATCCTCTGCCCCGCAGGCCCGGCATCCCAGGATGTGGATACGCTTCGTGCCATGCTGCGCGCCGGCATGTCCCTGGCGCGGATCAACCTCACGTGGTGCGTGCTGCACGCAACCGCCCCCGTTCATGCATCTGTGCCCGATGGCTCTGGCGTTTGTTGATAACAGGCGAATGCATGGGAGGGATCATCCATGAAATCTCAGGGCGAACACATCTGGGTTGGCCGCGTGCAAGAAAGGCCAACCGAGCACCATCATGCATTGGCAGCACGAGCAGGCTTGCTGTTGACAACCCAAATCCCCGTCTCCCTGCACCCGCTTTGCTGCGCAATCTTCCATATTTCAACCATCCCGCTGCCTCTGCTACCCCTCGTCCGGCCAAGCGCCGCCTCTCCACTACCCCCTCTGCCTTGCCCCGCGCCCCAGGGGACCCCTCGACTTCCACCGCCGCACCCTGGCTAACCTCCAAACGGCAACTCGCCTGGAGCAGCGCCTCTGCGGGGTGGTGGTGGGCACCTCGGGCCGCGAAATCCCAGTCATCGGCCGCCCCACCTCGCGGGATACGAACGGGTGGTGGCGCCACACAGAGGACCTCGCGTTTGAGGCGGGGGCCCGTGTGGTGGTTACGGCGCGCGAGGGCGCGGAGGCGTCGGGCAGCGTGCTGCCGATCGGCTTCAAGGAGTTTGCAGGTGGGGTCCCCTCTCTGGGGAAGCTGGGGGGTTTTGGTTGCCTAAAGGGAGTTTGCCTCGCTGATGGCGTGGCACGTATCTTATCATCTTGTGTATTGTTGCATGTGGGGCGCCTGGTTTCGGCTTTGGTCAGTTCAGAGTAGTCTTGAGGAGGCAGGGGAGGCGGGGGTGTGCAAGGTCCTTGAGGCGGCGCTGCTTGTGGCTCGTCTCAAGGCCAGTGGGGTCCGCCCCGCGCCGACAGAGGGGCGGCTGGGAAGCGGAGGGGGCGCCGCCTTGTCGGCGCCCCAGTCTCCGAGACGGGAGCCCGCGCGCGGCAGCGCCGCTCCCACGACTGTTTCAGCCGCCCCTTTGTATTGCGTCCAACCGCCGCCACGGCCTGCTGCGACCCTTTGTTGCCCTGAACCCTCCTTCCCCCAAATAAACCCCATCAGGCCTGGTGTCACCCGGTGACGTGCTGTACGTCGGGCGCTACATGACCCTCGGCTCCACCCAGGGCGTCACCCCCGACCCCTCCGCCTCCCTACTGACACTGCGCGTACTGAGCGTGTCGTCACCGGGTGACGTCGAGTGCGAGGCGCTGAACACCGCCACGCTCAGCGGCCTGGTGACACTCTCGCATCCGGGCGGGCAGCAGCAGCAGCGCCAGGCGGCGGACGCAACCGCCGCCGCGCTCGGCGAGGCGGGCGTGGAGTGGGGGGGCTGCGGCAGCGGCGCAGCGGCAGCGGGCGCAGGCGGCGCGCCGGCGCTGGGGAGGGGGGCGGATGGGTCTGCCAACTACAGTTTGCCCATCCTGTCAACAAGTGATGTCGAGGCCCTCAAGGTGCAAAGCACTGCACATAATTCCTCTTGGGTCCTCCCGGACGGGGAACAGGAAGGCCGGCACTGGGGGAGTGGGTGTGGGGTACCGGGCTGCAATGGGGAAGGCGTGATTCGCCGCGGTAGGGCGTGTCAGTGAGGAGACCATGCCATTTTCCTGCTCCTCATCAGGGAAATGGGCATGGTTGCACGGGGGCTGGCAGGGCGCACGCAGCAGACGACGGCAGCTGCTGTGCAGCTGTGCTGGTTGGTTTTTGTTTTGAAAAGGCACATCTTGGCAGCACCTCACCACAACTTCATATGTGAAACGGTGGGACGCGCGTGCGTCCCCTCCCCTTACCCAAAGCACACACCCCCTCGACACACGCACACATTGTGTCGCACACAAGCCAACAAACGCACCCCTCAAACCCTGGCGCCCCGCAGTCCCTGGCGGCCTCTTTCCCAGACATGATCGATTTCGTCGCCGTGTCGTACGTCAGATGCGCCACTGACGTCGCCGCCGCGCGCGCCGCGCTCGACGCTGCGGGGCTAACCTGCGCTGGCGTCGCGGCAGAGGTCAACACTGCAGCGGCGCTGGGCAGGTGCGGCGCGGCCTGCTTTTTGGGGCTGGTGGATGCAGGGGTCGCCAGTGCGTTTTGTGGGGTCTGGACGTGACGGGGCGCCTGCCCGGATCCAGCGGCCTCAGGCCGCGGTTGTGGGGCTGGAAGTGGCGCGTTTCTCAGGGACACATCAGCAGTCGGGAAGGCTTGGCAGCGTTGCGCGTGCGCAGGGGGTCGAGCATCACGGCGCGCGTCGTAATTTGAGGAGGGCTGAAGCAAGCACGTTGAGACGGGGAGAGGGCCAGCTGCGACCGCGTGTGCGCCATGGGAACCCCTCCCCCGCATCCGGGTCTGCGTGAGTGGTGGGTATCCCGGGGCCACCTGCCCCCTCGGGCCGCAACCAACGCCGCTCGCGCCGCCACCCGCCTCGCAGGTTTGCGGAGATCCTGGATGAGTCAAACGCAGTCATCCTCAACAGGTTTGTACGCAGGGGCCGCAGGTTTAGGGTTCAGAGAGGGAGAAGGGGCGCATCATCACCTCGCTTGCCTCATCCGTCCGCCCGCCCCCATCTTGCGCCCGCCCCGCCTTGGCCCTCGCACCCGCGGCGCGCCGCCGGTCTGCGCGTGCCGCGGTCTGTGCGTCTGCGGCGCCCGCCTGCGCGGCATTGCTTGGGAGGAGACCCTTGCTGCCCTACGCCGCCAGCGCCCTCTGCGGCCCGCTCGGACCCGCCTTGTCAACTCGTCCTCGACACCTTTTGCCTCGTACATTCAAATTCCAAACATCTGCAGGGGTGCACTGGGGCTGGAGGTTCCGCCGGAGAAGCTGTGCCCCCTGCAGAAGGCGCTCGTGCTGGCGGCCAACTTAGTGGGGAAGCCTGTGGCCATCAACATGCTGGTCGACTCGAGTGAGTGGGGAGGTGCTCGTGCACGTGCTTGGGTGTGGGAGGCTGGAAGTTTGTGTGTGCGTGCGTGCGTGCGTGCGTGCGTGCGTGCGTGTGTGCGTGCGTGTGTGCGTGTGCCCGCGCGCGCACGCGCGGGCGAGTGCGCGTGCGTCACAGGGTGAGAGAGACAGAGGGCGTGTGTATGTGTGTGCTTCCTTGAGTGCGCGTGTGCACTTTTCCGAGCCGTGTTTGCTTGTTGTGGCTGTCGACGTGCTGACGGGTTGAGTGGGTGGTGGATGAGAGCTTCTTTTGTGAGGTGTGCCGTGGCGTATGTTGGATTTGGGCAGGGGTGCAGGGCGAGGCTCTCCAGAGTAGAGGGGGCGTTGTGGCTGTGGGGTTGGGGCGAGCTTTCATGGCCGCGCAAGCCGCCTGTCAGCTCGCCCATGGCCGGCGCCCGCCACGCCCCTTCCTCTGTAGTCCTCCCGCTCGTGCAAACCCCGCCCTTCCCCCAACCACACCTCGCCCCCCGCAGTGGTGGGCGCCCCGCGGCCGACGCGCGCGGAGGCGACTGACGTGGCCAACGCCGTCCTGGACGGCGTTGACGCACTGCAGGTGAGGGTGGGCAGCAGGGGAGGACGAGACTCAGCTGCGCTGACAGGGCGCGCAGACCCTGGGGCGCGGCGCACAGCAGCTCGGCCCGGGCATCCCTATCGGATTATTGGACTGGCCCGCGGCTTCAGCTCCGTCTTTGTCTCTTGGTGACCTGAGACCGCCGGCGTGCCGCTTACAGTGTGCGCTGAGACAACGACGCGCCGTCCGCGCTGCGCGCCGGCCGAGCCGCCCCTGAACACTGGGCCCCCTCCCACGCCCGCGCCCAAGCGC